TTCACTCCTATAACCTTTCTATTTCATGCTGTCAGCATGACTCATTCACCCGGAGCACCGTGCCCTGCTCTCCAGCCAGTGCAGGAGCTGTTCTTCAACGTCTAAGAACTGAGAAGTCCCCCAGATCCCCAGGTTTAGCACATTTAGTTGTATTTGTGAGGAACAATACATACCAAGTGTTGGTGTTCTTATGTATGGTAGCAGTGAGCAGAAAGCAGTGACCAAGGGAAGCAACCGGGGAAAAAGTTTTTAAAAAGGAAAGTATATTATTATCCTATAAGAACTAATCATTTTGTTAATGAGAGAGAAGGAAGAAGATGACGGTTGTTGATGCCACTCATAGATAATCCTCTATCTGCATGCCACTCATAGATAATCATCTCACATTTTCTCGCCTCACTATAACTAAGAAATAAGTTGTACTGTCCCACTTTGCTCAAAATCACATAGTTAACAACTTTCAAGCCAGGAGTTCAACCCTGGTCTTTCCATTAAATCCCATCGCCTCATAAACTCACGAAAAGAAGAAAAATCCTTCAGAAGAAACAAATTAGCACATGTGATTAATATTGCCCAAATGAAGCCCACAGATACCCAGGGGGTGATAATTAAAGCCAGATAAGGGAGGATATAATTAAGCATAACTTCCTGGACACTGTCCTGAGTTGAATTCTGGGGGAGATACAGGCCATGGATTGACAGAGTAATAAAAGCACTAAGGAAGGAAGGAAGTCACGTGGCAGGGAGACTTAGCTGAAGCAGAAGAGTTACAGGAAAAAGTAATGAGAGCTGAGGAGGAGGGTGCAATTGTTCAACTCAACAGGCATTTGCTAAGCTTCAGCTCTATGTAAGGCACTAATAGGGAGGATTCAAGTAAAAAGAAACAATTCCTACCCTTGAAGAGTTTACATTTAAATGGGACAGGTATCAAGGAAAGGAAGGGTAGGACACTTGTGGAATATTGGGTAGTACAAATAGGTACAGGATGAGTGAGTGACAGCAGGAAGGCAGTGTGTGCTCTTTAGCAAAGGAGGAATCTGATGAAACTATGTTTCAGAAAAAGTAACTATTGTAACTGGTAGTGGTACATAAGAAGTTGGAGGGCAAGAAATGAGTTTGCTAGGATAGCTAACAGGCTACTGCCATAATCCAGGCACAAGGAAATGAATGCCTGGACCAGTGACAGGGAAAATGGAAAAGAAGTTCTCTCTCTGAAGTGTTCTGATTTACATTTTAGTCTCTAGTTTGGGTAATGTAGTCTGTCCTGAGAGGGTGCTCACTCCCTTCTGTGACTGTAAAACCAAAGGCTCAAGCTCAAAGCACAGCGCTTCTATTCAGGTTACGTGAGAACTTTTTCAAAGGAAACAACTCTGCTCTGTGGCTTTCCAAAACGTGTATTTTAAGAAGTTAAAAAGAACATAAGAATGTTGATTGGGTGTCAGCAGGGAAGAGTGGCTGCCTGACTGGCTGCTGGAAGGACCTAACGGCATGGTGTTTTCCTCCATCCAGGGGCTGTCCTTCAGACCTGGTTCTTTAGCTTTGCAGGATCAGAAAGTTGATTTTGTCAACACCTTCACAGAGACACATTCACCTTCCCAAGCTCAAGAATAAGGAATAAGAGCTGGGCATGGTGGCTCACGCCTGTAATCCTAGCACTCTGGGAGGCCAAGGTGGGCGGATTGCGGGTCAGGAGTTCAAAACCAGCCTGAGCAAGAACAAGACCCGTCTCTACTAAAAAAAGAAAGAAATTAATTGACCAACTAAAAATATATATAGAAAAAATTAGCCGGGCATGATGGTGCATACCTGTAGTCCCAGCTACTCGGGAGGCTGAGGCAGCAGGATCGCTTGAGCCCAGGAGATTGAGGTTGCTGTGAGCTAGGCTGACGCCACGGCACTCACTCTAGCCTGGGCAACACAGTGAGACTCTGTCTCAAAAAAAAGAATGAGGGATAAGCCAGAACCATAACCACCATAATCACCAAGAGCAGAAACATGACAAACATATCCCTGCCAGTGGGACACGTCACCAAGTCAGCATGCCTTCTCTGCACCACGCGTGGACTAGTGATGCTAGCATGTGCCCATGTTGCTCCCATTCTCTGTGCTTCATTTCTTGCTAGCCCTCTACCCTTCCAATAGATACATTCATTCCTTAGACATGCCAGTAGCATCAATAAGGCTACAGCCAAATCTTGCTATGATCAATAAGCCTTTCTCACTTCTTAAGGTAACTTTTTCACTGACCTCACCACTCTGTGTTGATTTTATGGTTTAATTGTCTGAGGAACCCCATATTTTTCTTATTTCCAGATTTTTTTTTTTTTTCTTTTAGGAGACAGGGTCTCACTCTGTTGCCCAGGCTGGATTGCATTGGCTCAGTCATAGCTCACTGCAGCCTCAAACTCCTGGGCTCAAGCAAACCTCCCACCTCAGCCTCCCAAGTAGCTGGAACTATGGGCATGTGTGCCCACACTTGGCTAATTTTTCTTTTTCTTTTTTTCTTTTTTTTTTTTTAAGACAGGGTTACACTATGTTGCCCAGGCTGGTCTCAAACTCCTGGCCTCAAAAAATCCTGCTGCCTCAGCTTCCTAAAGCACCAGGATTATAGGTGTGAGCTGCCATGCTCAGCCTTATTTCCAGATTCTTAATGGGAGATAACTTTGCATTATGTTCTCACATTGTCCATGGTAGGAGTTTCTAATCTTCTACCCTTTCCCTAGAAAGAAAAAAGAAATACTTATTTCTCTTCTCCAAAATTCTGTCATTTGAACTGTGAGCAGTTTTATCCTGTCTACTTCCTGAGCTCCTTTGCTCAATTTTTTATTTCTATAACTGCTCCCTTGTGCTTTAAAAACTGTTTCGTCTCACCGAAGAGAAGCTGCTCAGTCATTTCCATACTTGTACTCAAGTCAAAGTCTAGGTTTCAGGTTCAGAAAAATTAAATTGCTCCTTGTTTTGCCTGTGACAAAATAAGATTCACATTAGCTGGGTGCGGTGGCTTATGCCTGTGATACTCGGGAGGCTGAGGTAGGATGTTCGCTTGAGCCTAGAAGTTGGAGGCTGCAGTGAGCTATGATCACACCACTATAGTCCAACCTGGGCAACTGGGCAACAGAGTAAGTCCCTATCTCTAAAAAAGAAGAAAGATTCACTGGCAGTTACTTTATATATGTCACTGTAGTACTCTAAAACATAACGTGGCAGATGAGAGTCTGAGGAGAAGTGGTCAAGATTAATGTTGTTTTATAAACTCCTTAAGGGCACAGAGTGCCACATATATCTGATGGAATGAATGAAATAACTAGTTAACTAATGAATCCTCATAACGATTCATGGAAGATAGAGTTTTAATCATTCTGGCCATAGAGGAATGCATTAGGTGTCCCTTTTCAGCCGCAGGGTAAGTTGCTAAATATGATATGAAGTCATCTAAATCTCACCACACCTCCCCTGTGTTGGAACCAATGCATTGGACTGAAGCCCCTTTGTTCCCTGTGGAAAGTCTGCCACCTCTGCAGACTTGTCCTCAGGAATGTCGTTCTAGAAATAATCCAGCCTTCTCCCTGGAGTCCATGAGTCATACACAGAAGTTAATTCATTGGAGCAATTGGTTTTTCTTAGGCTCTTTGTAAAAGTATTTCAGAGACTCCTTCATGGTGAAGCAAAGAAAGCCGGGTTCTTCTCCAGTTTCTTTCCAACTCTTGCCTCATTTCCTCTGCTTCCTCCACTACCTTATAACTGAACTTCCCTGCAGATGCAGATCCCAACTGAGTGAGTGTTGCCTGAAGGTGGAAGTACACCAGCAAAGCCTTGTTACCCCATTCCTTTGGATTTGGGATTAAATCACACTCCACCCAGAACATCCCCATCCTCTTTGCTGCTGACCACACTTGTGAGATCCACTGTGCCAATGACTAATGCTTCAGGCTTGCTTCTGTATCATAAGGTGGAGCCCAGGAATCCATCATTCTTTTAGTTTTTTTAATTCACTTTTTATAACAGAAGTAATAATTGAACACATTTTCACTGTAAGACAACATGAAATTGAAGTCCCCCTTGTATTCAGTTTGCATTGCTGTATAATTGTTGAGTTGTTTTTATATTCTCAAATGTTCCAATAAAATTCAAACAGTATGGAAGTATAAACAGTAAAAAGGGAACATATCTCAGAACCCTGCTCCATTTCTACTCCTTATCCACTGTTAACAGTTGGATGGTAGCCTTCCAGAACTTTGTTAAATACATTTACATACATATGTATGTATTTAGGCAGATAGTTTTATTTTTATATAAATGGGATCATATATTATATCTGTTCTACAACTTCCTTTATTCACTTACTGTCTTTTAGTTTTCCATGTCAGTACACTTTACTTTGTTATCAGCTGCATAATACCCCACAGTTTGGGTGTACCATAATGGAAACTCTTCCCTACTGGTGGGCATTTGAATTGCTTCTTATTTGGGATTTTGATTATTTGTTATTACAACAAATGCTGTACTAGACATCTTTACAAATATCTCTTTGTGAACTGTCCAAGAATGTCTCTCAGGCTAGATATCTAGAAGTACAATTGATGGGTCAAAAGATGGGTGCATTTAATATTTTATATTTTTCAAAACTCACAATTAATGAATTAAACAGGCCAGCTGTGATGGCTCACACCTGTAATTCCAGCACTTTGGGAGGCCGGTGTGGGAAGATCACTTAAGCCCAGAAGTTTGAGATAAACCTGAGTAACACAGCGAGCCCCATCTCTACAAAAAAATAATCATAATAAAAATTAGCCAGGTGGGTAACATGTACTTGTATTCCTAGCTACTTGGAAGGCTGAGGTAGGGATTGCTTGAGCCCAGGAGTTTGAGGTTACAGTGAACTGTGATGATGCTACTCACTGCAGCCTGGGCAACAGAGTGAGACCCTGTCTCAACAACAACAACAAAAGAATAAAAGAATTAAACAATTTAAAAATTAATTATTTCCCTTTCTTCTGCAGAGAGTTGTATCCTGGGAACTGACATTGACCTTCAGACTATAGACAATGATACTGTCAGCATGGAGATTTTCTTCAAAGCCTGGCTGCATAACAGTGGAACAGACCAAGAACACATCCATCTTCTTCTTCCTTCACGGTGTTTCAACAACATTTCCAGAGCCAGAGATAATCCAAGTATAAAACCCCCAAAAGATATATGGGCTATGATATAGCCTAAGATATAGGCTATGACAGTCCTTGTCTGGGATTAGGACTCTAGATTGGTGAGTCATAAGAATCCAGAGTAGTAGTTGAGGCTTAGGGATTGGATGAGGCTGTGCAGTATAAGCATGAGGAGCATGAGGAGTAAGAAGAAAAGTTCTAAAACATGACCAGTTAGAAAGCTGAGCCTACTCACACCTGTAATCCTAGCACTCTGGGAGGCCAAGGCGGGTGGATAGCTCAAGGTCAGGAGTTCGAAACCAGCCTGAGCAAGAGCGAGACCCCGTCTCTACTATAAATAGAAAGAAATTAATTGACCAACTAAAATATATAGAAAAAATTAGCCGGGCCTGGTGGCGCATGCCTGTAGTCCCAGCCACTGGGGAGGCTGAAGCAGTAGGATCGCTTGAGCCCAGGAGTTTGAGGTTGCTGTGAGCTAGGCTGACGCCATGGCACTCACTCTAGCCTGGACAACAAAGTGAAACTCTGTCTCAAAAAAAAAAGAAAGAAAGAAATTGGCCAACTAAAAAATAGAGAGAAAAAATTAGCTGGGCATGGTGGCACATGCCTATAGTCCCAGCTACTTGGGAGGCTGAGACAGAAGGATTGCTTGAGCCCAGGAGTTTGAGGTTGCTGTGAGCTAGGCCGAGGCCATGGCACTCTAGCCTGAACAACACAGTGAGACTCTGTCTCAAAAACAAAAAAGAAAAAAAAAAGCTAAGCCTAATTAAGCCCAGCCACCAAGGGCCAGTTAGTTTAGGGGTAAAGTCTTAGACACCTCCATGATAGGGCATCACTACACTACATAAAAGGACAATGAACCATATATTTTTCTCAATATTTTCAGTGTTAATGTGATAAATATTCTTGGCATTATAATTATAGGTGTGCCAGCACCTCGGCAATATCAACAGAGCCTATGGTGAGAGGAAGCAAACCAAGATTAAATAGAAATTTTCCCACTAGAGAGGCAGCAAATTGGGGAAAATTAAAGCAACTGCAGAGGCAGGGCATGTTCACAAAGCACTTCAGGCAATTATTGAAACCAAGAGATCAATCTAGTGCTCTGAGCAGGCCAACTTGGATATTGTTCTGCCTGACAGGTACACTTCATTCCATGTCCCACTAGGTGGTAGTAATAAGGCCATTTCTATTCTCTCCCCTTTGAAGGTTGGCCCAGGATGCAGGGTAGCAGGGCCTGCAGATGGGCCCATCAGTCTAGTCGGCCACGCTGAGCTTGGGAAAGGTGAATCCTTAGGGCCTAGCTCAAAAGGGAAAGGACTAAAGTGTGTCTTCTCCTTTAGGGGTGAGAGTTTGTACCCATCTTTATCACTGAACAGAATATTGGTAGTAGCTAAGGAGATCACTGAAGGTTGAAGGCTGGATTGGATGTGGTGCTTACCAAAGCCCCTCTCCCACACAGCCCACTCTGGTTACCACCTCCTCTGAAGGCTCTCTATTGGCCATTGACAGTGTATCTCCCTTTTCTTCAGCTGTAATAGAACTGTTTAAGACCATTGTTTCTTCAGGATAAGGAAGAGCCCTTTGGAGTGTCACTAGACAGGATTATGGTTTGCCAAGACCCTTTCTTTCTAGGGATAGCCATCAGGTCTCTTCCTCTCCCCCATTTCAACCCAGGGCCCAGAATGCCATTGACAACTTAACTTGGTTTTAAGCTCTCTTTCATGTATAAAGTCTTCTTCCCAGCACCTTCTTTCCACCCCCTTTGTCCAAGGCTGACAGTACCAATTTCCATCCTGTTCCATCCTTTGGAATTCACTTGTCTATTTTCCCTATTTAAGGTTGTTGGCAACTTTATACAGAAGCTACTTTATAGCTAACATTATTGATCCCTCCTTCCATGCCAAGCCATAAGTTAACTCTTTTCCTTGCATTATCCCATTTCATCTTCACACAACACCATGAGGTAGATACTGTTGCCATATGTTGTTGAATCTATGATTCTATCAGTTGTAAGGTATACCACTATCTTATGTACACTAAGAAAGAAAACACTGCCAGTTCAACATGACACAGCTCTTTGTCACTTACAAGTATTATTTTATCCTTATTGAGAAAGCTCTTTTAGGTTAGAGTACTAAATAAGGGCTAAGAGTATCTGGCCAATGGCAATTTTAAGACATATACAGAGACGTTAGTATGTGAAAAAAAATGTATCTTAGAACCAATTAAATACAATATTATCCCCGTTTTACAGATGAGAAAACTAAGACTTAGAGAAATTAAACACTTTCACAGGGCTTCACAGAAAATTAATAGCAGAGCCAGGATTTGAAGCCAGGCAACTCCAGACTCCATCTTAACCCTTAGGATCAGAAATCTACATTGTGTACATTTGACCACTCTCAGCCCAGACTATGTTCATCAAACCCATGCCTATCTGCCTTCAGACCCTGGGTCTTTATCTACTATACTAACCAGCCTCATGCTGGGCAATTCTGAACGAAGAGGCTAGAAATTCACTTTTCTCATTAGGAGGGCTGGGGCCCTCAAAGGCCGGGAACACCTGCCAGACTGCCTTGCACTGTTGCATGGCATGTGCCCATGGTGCTAATCAGAATCTGTGGCTTCTCTACCCTCTTCCCAAGGCTTTCAGCACAACAGTCACAGCCAGAATGTTTATCTCCATCTGTAATCATTTTTTGGAAATATGCATGTCTTCAGGGTGCATGGTAGAATTTATATCTGGATTCTAGTTATCTGTTCTTCTGGAAAAGTCTTCACTAGAATCCAGATATTCAGACACAGTTACAATGAGGTCTGGGGAAATTAGGCTTCCTCTAAGGAGGATGTGACTCACCTGAGATTTTAAACAACCTTAATAAAGATTATACTGTAGGTATCTATTATTCTTAAAACTGATACATTGCCACACATGGATTTCTGGACCTGTGGCTCATTACAAAAAAAAATGAAACAAAATAAAACAAAAGCCCTGAGTTCTACTCCTATAGACTATTTTGAGGAGTGCACCTCAGATGTGCACTTTGACTCTCCCTTACAAAGTTCTCCACCCCACACCACCTGCTTTTGGGGTTGCCTAGGGCCCTTCACCCCATCTCTAGGTGCTTTCCTTACAAGGGCCTTCCTCTGACAGAAAGAATGCACAATCCAGCTACAGATGAGTGTCTTCTTGTTTGGTCTGGGGTCTGGCACCTCTGCACCTGGGCTCTGAATGGTGAGAAGCACACCTGGTTCTAGATTGAAGTCCGGCTAAAACAACTTTCCCAGCTTTGGGACATTCTGCTGAGGCTACAGTTTGGGCAGTTCTCAGACCTGACTGCAGTAAGAATCACATGAGGAACTTCTTAAAAATATCAGTATCTGGGCTCCACCCTCAGAGATCCTGGTTTAACTGGTCTGGGGTAGGGACCAGACAACAGTACTTTTTAGAAGTTCCCCAGGTGATTCTTACTGTCACCAGCATTAAGAACCTCAGCCAGATGAACACAGCTGTCCAGTCATAAAGCCTAGAAACCAGAAATGGAGAAGTCAGGCACAGATGAAATGAAAGGAAGCTGAAGTCCTAGACAAAGTCCCTCCTATTGACTTCCTGGGCCCTGGGACACACCAGGCCATCCAAGAGCAATCTCACCAAGAATTAATGCCTTGGTCTTAATCACTGGGCCCAGAAGGGCCAGCTGGATCTGACATCTATTCTGCCACTCTGGTGGGGTTTTTTTTTTTTCTTTCTGTTATTTCTATTTTTGTTTTTACCTCATGTTGCAGTTAGTACAGTCATTTCACAAATCATTAACATCAACTATCCTTCTCACAAGTACTCAGCATTCATATATTCACAAATTTGTTATCAATATTCAGGCCAGATATACATTTTATTGAAAAACTTTGTAATATCAAAGCTTCAAGCCTAGTACAACAGAACACTGCCCACTGTGGCATGTGAAGGTACCTACTGGAGCAGGAGCTTAATGTAGCAGAGTATAATTCCTACATGAATGGGTCATACCTAGTCTAAGCCCTCCTCAGAATTGTTGTCTGATGCTGCGGTGATGCTCCCAGCCCCAGAAGGTCATTACTCGGTTTCTTTGAGAAATAAAAAAATAAACTATTTCAGGAACTTATTTCCCCCACCCCATGTCCCTAGAAGAACCCACAGAGAAACAGCAACAGTCACCTGACTGCCTGACTTCTGCTTTCCTGCTCTTCTTCATATGACCTACAGTCTTGCCAAAGCTTTGCCACAGGGAAGCAGCAGAGGCAAGATTTCCTTCTGTGATTGCCAAAGGGCCCTTGCATATTTTGGCATTAGCTGCCTTCTCCACAGAGGATGCATGTTCCTCTCAGACTGGGTCACAAACCGGATCTCTCACTATGAGACAACTGCTCAGCCAGCCCAGAAGTAAAACAAGTAAAAACCACGTCAGACCCAGAAAATGAGTTAACTGTTGCACAGAGTGACAGAGATACTATAGGTTCCAGACCCGCTTTACCTTCCCAAACCAATCAAGCTTTCCACTTTCCAGTCCCCTGCCTTTTCCCATCCCTTGCTTGCCTGATAGAGGTAGAATGGGTGGCAGATGTTTTCTCATAATGCATAGCCTGAGGTAACCTGTGACCCACAATCCCTCCTGCAATGCTGCTTTTTATTGTAGTGTGCCTGAAATGTGATCTCCAAGAGCGACTGCTCAGCCCCTCCCTGCTCCCTGGCACAGCTGACAGCACCTTGAAAATGGATGACCCCAAAGGAGACTTCAGCACACTCTACCAGATGGCTTCCCAGTCATCAGCCTCTCGTTACAAGCTCCAAGTGATCAAGTATGGTTGAAGGGAACCTCCCCAATCCATGCAAATGCTATTCTTACTGGTTTCGTAGCTAGGAAGTCCAGAGATAGACAGTATCTCTAAGTGTCAAGCAAGCAACAGTCATTTCCAAAGTAGCAGTTACAGGTATGGCATGAGGGTCAGCTACTCAGCATATGGGGGCCAAATGAACATATGGTAGAAGTGCTGTAGTAGAACACTCTGAGGTCTGGGTGAGAATTGGAAATCCAGAAAGTCTCTGAACACAGAGAAAGATGAGATCAGTAGAAAGGTGTTTATCCATTCAGTAAATGTTTAAGTACCTACTATGTTTAAGCTCAGGACAGAGATCCAACCTTTATGGAATAAGTGATACATAAAATCTACCCCTGCCCACTCCTGTTTTCCTAAGTACTATTAATAGAACTCTTTCTTCCGGGGGAACCAGAGTAGAATTAGCAGTAGTTCTAGAGTAGAATTAGCAACGATGGCAGAGGCCACGTTGCTTCCTAGTTCCTCCCACAGTGCCTGTGCACAGGTTCCTGAGCTTTGACAGTCTTTTGTGTGCTCAATACTATGCTAGACGCTAGCCATACAAAGATGAATAATTCACAGACCCTAATCTAAAAGCTCTCATAGTAGTGTAGACTTAAGCTGAATTTAAGTGAATCTGGGTAGAGGTTCTAGATATCACTGAGGAGTCTTTCACTGCCATTGTCTCTTCCCAGGGCTCTAAAATCTAGTGGGATCTGTGAGTCATTGACATATGGACTCCCATTCATCCTCAGACCCACAAGCTGTTGGCAGCTGGACTGGGATGAGCTAGAGACAAATCAGCAGCATTTCCATGCTTTGTGTCATAGCCTGCTGGTGAGTATCCACGTCCCCAGGTGAGAAAGAGGAATAGTGTTAAAGTACCAACCATAGAAAAGCAGCTAACTAATGATGCCCTAATTCCAAAGCTGCATTAACCCTAAAGAGGACAGAATAAAAACTAGAAATAGGCCGGGCGTGGTGGCTCACGCCTGTAATCCTAGCACTCTGGGCGGCCGAGGCAGGCGAATTGCTCAAGGTCAGGAGTTTGAAACCAGCCTGAGCAAGAGCAAGACTCCATCTCTACTATAAATAGAAAGAAATTAATTGACCAACTAATGTATATAGAAAAAATTAACCAGGCATGGTGGCACATGCCTGTAGTCCCAGCTACTCGGGAAGCTGAGGCAGTAGGATTGCTTGAGCCCAGGAGTTTGACGTTGCTGTGAGCTAGGCTGACACCATGGCACTCATTCTAGCCTGGGCAACAAAGTGAGACTCTGTCTCAAAAAAAAAAAAAAAAAAAAACTAGAAATACTCTAAAATTTGGAGTAAATCTGACTTACCTTTGTGTGTTTCATGCTATAGAGAATAATTCCCAAATTCAGTTATATATCATAAAACTTGAAAATCCCTGATTTTGTAAGCTTAACATTTAAATGACGACAGAGAATTTTCCATAAGTAACCATATTTTAAAACCCACTTCCTTCCTAACACTATACTGGATATTATGGTTCATTTAAATGAAGAGCACCAGCCAGGTACAGTGGCTCACACTTGTAATCCTTGTACTCTGGAAGGCCGAGGCAGGAAGACTACTTGAGATCAGAAGTTTAAGACCAGTCTGAGCAAGAGCAAGACCCCATCTCTACTAAAATAGAAAAAATTAGCCAGACATGGTAGTGCATGCCTGTAGTCCCAGCTACTCTAGAGGCTGAGGAAGGAGGATCACTTGAGCCCAGGAGTTTGAGGTAGCTATGAGCTAGGCTGACACGATGGCACTCTAGCCCAGATGGCAGAGCAAGACCTTCTCTCAAAAAAATAATAAATAAATAGATGAAGAGCACCTAGTCTGTGGCAGACATTACATTAAGCCCTGGATATTTACTCAGTGGTGACATAATAGACATTACCTATGACCTCAAGAAACCTGCTTTCTAATAGAAGAGACAGAAATATATGTGTGTGTGTGTGTTCTTAATTGTGAGTTTATAAAGGAAAAGAAGAGGTTGTTACAAGAGAAGTTCTCTGTGAGAGTGACATTTATAAGAGACCTGCTAGATGAGTGGGAATTAGCCAGGTGAGGGTTGGCAGGAAGAGCATTCCAGGTGCAGGGAAAGGCATGTGCAAAGACCTTAAGGATGGAAAGAGCTAAGAATCAAGGACAGAAAAGCGATTGTGACTGTAACCTGGAACAAAGGAGAGAGAGGGAAAAGGTGGGGTTGGAGAAGTGAGCAGGGGGCAAATCGTGCAACGCTTTGTAGGCCAAATTAAGGACTCTGGACTTTAAGTAGGGAAAGAAATCATGCGAAATGACATCATCTATTAAAATTTTTAAAATATAACTTAGCCAGAAGTTTGGAAATACACTAGCAGAACCAAGAATGAAGAATAGAAAATTATGTAGGAGGGCATTGCAGTACTCTAGGCAAGAGTGATCCTCCTTCCTCAGCCTCTAGTGCCTTGGACTGTAACCTTGGAAGATAAGAGGAGAAGAGTAAACCAATTAGAAAACTATTTTAGAGAAAGAATCATCAGAACTCGGTGAAGGATTGGATGTAGTGACTGAGAAAGAGGAAGTATCAGATAACTGCTTGCTTTCTGACTTGAACAACTAGATGAATGTCATTCCCTGAAATGGAAAAAATAAAGAGCACATGCTTGAAACTAATGTAACACTTAGAAAGCAAAATAAAACAACTACAAATAGAATACAAGACAGACACCGAGTAAAGGTTTGACCTAGTAGGATGGATATGGGTGACCATGACAGCATGGCAATGCATCTCTTTCACTATCAGAAGCAGACTTCTCTTTTTCCTGTTTCAAAGCCCACACTCTGTTTTAGATCCACCCACTGAGTTCCTGTTTCCTATCTGAAGAGCACCCATCCCCTGTCTTTGCAGAGCAGAGACAACAGACCCGTTGTGACTGTTAGTACCTAACAGCTCAGTTGACTATTTACTCCACCCAATTCCTCAGAATCTCAGACGTGATACATCACTCAGGAGGAATTTCTCCCAATTGGCTTCAATACGTTCTTATGGTACTTGATATTTTAAACATACATTGGCATTTTAATATACTACAGAAAGAGTGTAAATTTTCTGGCAAATAATACTCTTCAACACCTTTGCTGGGAATGTAGCCCAAGAAAAGAGTCAGGAAAGGGAGCAAAGATGTATGTACCAGCATGTTCATGTCAGTGTTATTTACAGTGGTAAGAGTTGGAAACAATAAATTTCCTAAATAGAGAAATGGTTAAATCTAAATGGGGGGATTATAGGAACTATAATTCAGCCAAACAATGAAATACTATGTTGTCATTAAAAATAAGGATGGGAAGGAGTATTCCCTTCCATCCTGGCTTACATACACATGATCAGAGTCTCTTTGCCACTGAACTCTGGGTTTGAGGATTTGTATATATGTATTCATTCATTCATTCAACAAATATTTACAGACCACTATGTGCCAGGCATTGTTTTAGGGATGAAGAGACTTATTTATCACTCCTCTCTCATGGAAAAATCACAAGTTACCCATCACTAATACCCATTTTTTGGAACATTTACTATATAGTAGTCCCTTACCAAGGGTTTTGCATACTTGCCTTCATTTAATCCTCACAACATTCTGTTAAGTAGAGATTATCGTCCCTATTTTTACAAATAAAGAAGGCTGAGGCCTCAAGAGACCAAGTGACTTATCAAAGGTCACATAGCTACCAAAGTGGCCACGTCAAAATTTGAACCTAGTTCTCTTGACTACAAAACCCATGCTTTTAAATTCTTTGTTAAATTCCCTACTCTGCATGTAGCCAGATAAATACAAATTACAACACTGAGGCAAATTCTCCCTTCACTTACACCCCATGCTTCTGTATTTCACCAGACTTAAACTCATTTAAAGTGGCTGGGTACTCACAGCAGCTCCTTACTCATTCTGTGCTACTGTTCTTTCTACTCTGGTTCACCTTATCCAGATTAAAGACCACTCTCCTATTCTGGAAAACGGAGAAGCAAAATAGTGTTTAAATGTCAATTCCTTCTTGCTTTTCACATGATATTTTCTCCAAGCAGCAAAAATCCTGCATGGCAGTATATTATAGAACAGCATCCCCAACTGGTTTCATGGAAGACAGTTTTTCCACAGGATGGGGGCTGGCGGGAGGAGGCTGAGCTCAGGCGGTGATGCTAGCAATAGGGAGCAGCTGTAAATTGTCCCTGCTGCTCACCTCCTGCTGTATGGGTCCCCCGCCCTAAGTTTCATGGAAGATGATTTTTCTACAAATTGGGAGTTGGGGGAGGATGGTGGAGCTCTGTGGCCCAGTCCCTAACAGTCCCTAACAGGCCACAGACTAGTACCGGTCCACACCCAGGGGTTGGGGACTGCAGTTATAGAGGACAAGTTTTTCACAAACTGCACCTCATTCGTTCAATATATTTTTGAGTACCTACTGTGTGATAAGATTTAGAGTTTTAGCCTTCCTAAACCTATCTTTTATAATTTTGCCACACTTCTTTAAATCCGTCCTTGATTTTTTTATTCTTTCTTACACCTTTTTTCATGTGTTCTTTTAAAATCTGATTTCAAGCCAGCTCCTGTTATAACTCTCTTGCTTTCTGTTTCTCACTGTGATGTTTCCCCGCCAGCCAACTTCTCATTCTAACTTCTTTTTTCTGTTAATAGCAGTACCACTATCGTCTAGTCACCCAGGCTTGAAACCTCAGTCATTTTCAGCCATCTCCTGCTTTACACCCACTTCATCACTAAGCCACATCAATTTTTCTCTCATAACTTAAGTCGTAACTGACCTTTCCTTCCTGTTCCTACTGCTTGTTCTCATCAAGACTTCTTCAGTAAACTCCTAACTAGCTTGCCTAGCCCAATCTCTTCCTCTTCTAATTTACCCTACACATTGGCACCAGATTAATCTTGAAGCATTCCCCTGTCACATTTTTCCGTGTGCAATACTCAGTGACTTACTAAGCCTTGCCTGTTCTATCCCTACAGTACCTATTGCATTTATCTTCAATGCCTTTAGTGTTTTCCTTCCCAATCCATTTTATATATTGCCAACAGCTTTAAAATATTTTGTAGCTTGCTGTTATTTACCCATAAAATCCATATTCCTTAGCCTAATATTCAAGGTCCAGCTTTGTCTCCCTTTATTCCACTTCATGTACCATGTACTCCAACCAAATTAAACACAAACTTTAAATGTCCCCACCTTTGAACTTTGCTGATGTCGCCTCTCTCATCTCCATGTGTTCAAATCCTACCCTGTCCTGAAATTCCAAGCTCAAATGGTGCTTTTTCACTGAGACCTTTCCAATTTTCTCTACTTATCATTTGACTTTTATGTGCTCTTTTTCTCTTTAGAGAAAAGTGTATTTCAAGCAGGTTTGTAAATATATGATCCTATGCTTTGGGGTTAAAGTCTAAGATATAGGCCAGGCATGGTAGCTTATGCTTATAATCTCAGTACTTTGGAAGGCCAAGGCAGTAGGATTACTTGAGGTCAGGAGTTCAAGACCAGCCTGAGCAACAGAGCGAGACCCCATCTCTACAAATAATAGAAAAATTAGCTGGGTGTAGTGGCACACACCTGTAGCCCCAACTATTCAGGAGGCTACAGCAGGCAGATTTCTTGAGCCCAGGAGATTGAAGCTACAGTCAGCTATCATGATGCCACTGCACTCTAACCCAGACAACACAGCAATATCCAGTCTCAAAAAAAAAAAAGTTTAAGATATAAATTTGATTATCCAAACTTCAGAATGATGTGGTTTTTTCCTGATATTTCTACCACTTCCCAACTTTACTATCCAA